TTAAACGCCATTCCCTATATTCTTCACGACTCTGAATATGAAACCTAGTAGATTAAAAATTTCCTACAACAGCGGTAAGGCCTTACAATTGTTCATTAAGAAATGCCTCCCTGCAAGTTTTCAAAGGGGATTTATCAGGTGCCTATGCCTGAGAATTCACCTAATAAATCAAAACTTATGTAGCAGAGGATTTATTAGGAGGCCCCCACCCCATATAATAGTGATATAATAGAAATATAAGAGGACCCTAATCTAATCCTGAATATCCCTGATAGTAAGTATGTACTGGGGGGGGAATATACCCCCTAAACCCTATAACCTCTAATTATGACCCAGACACCCTAAAGGATCCAAAAAATGGACCCCGCCCCCCCCAATATGACATTGGGGAAACAAAGGGATTATTAGCGGGTTCCATTTGTTGGACCCTCTAGGGGGTCTGGGGATAGCTGGCTGTCAAGGTCGCGAAGTGCTTCGCGGGCGATGAGCTTTTTCAGCGGTGCCGGCTCCACAATGGGTGATGAACCTCACACCAACAGGTGCACTTGTGGTTTGTTGGCCGTGGGTGAGGAGCGTAGAGTAGTGAGTAAGAGAATATAATCCCTATAAATTCCCTATATAATATGTTTATCCCTGTATAACCCCTATATAATATATTTACTTAGATAGGTATTTATATATAGATATGTGTTTTTTGATATTGTTGTCCTTGTTCCCTACTAAGAACCAGCAAGCAAAGTGGGCTGCAGCATTTTCAGAGAAAATTCTGAGACTCAGGACCAGAGCGAGCCTGATGTGCCGGAAGACGGCAAGCTACCTCAAACCTGGCAGATGCTAGTATGCCTTAGGAGGACCCCCCACCCTGTAATAGTGGTATAATAAGAATATAAGAGGACCCTAATATAATCCCTATCCCTTATAGCCACTATTACAGGGTGGGGGGTCCACCTAAAGTATGCCGCTAAGGGCTGTAGTCTCCATAGGAAATTATAACAGGGTTTTAGGGCTTTGGGGTTTAGGACTTTCGGGCTTGGGTTTTGGCATAGGCATCAAAAATCGATAAGGCATCAAGATAAATTTGCCAAGCATCAAAAGATAATTTGAGCCGTAGTCTCTTTCCAACTATTGTTCTTATCGGTATTGCTACCAGTATACGTAATATCCGTATTCGTACTGTGAGCGCTACTATTCCCCATTCACCATTTTTCTTGCTAATGTATAATACAGTTACCCTCAAATTGTTTCATGTTTTTTGATGCTTATCAAATTATGTTTTGATACCGTGCGAAAGTGTTCCATTTCTTCTTGAGTTTTAGATATTTTTCTTGATGCGTCACACCTTCAGGATTTAGGGCTTAGGATTTCAGAGGTTATAAAAATAAAGCTGAGGAGTTTGTTTTACTATAGGCCTAAGGCGACTACAGAAGGAACTCAAAATAAGTTACCATGATATGAGCCATAGCCTACACTCCTTCAAGTGGTTATATAGGGGAGCATTACAGGGGTTAGTGAGGGGGATACTAGGAGGATATACTATGGCGAAATTTAATTTACCATGAGATGCGGTATATAGGGTTTAGGGTCTCAGTTACAAGCTTATACTGGGTATATATAGCAAATAGAGTTTCCTTCCTATAGGCATCTTAATTCAAGTTCCTTAAATCCATATATTACTCCCAGTTTCCATTTCGTTGTCCATTTGATTCTCCATTGTAGTTCCAAACCCTAAACCCTAAACCCAAACCCAAACCCTAAACCCTAAACCCTAAACCTAACAGTAACCCAGGATGAACCTGGCGGAGCAGCAGCTTCCTGGCTGAGAATTTTATAGTGGAGAAAACCCTTCAGAAGCAAGAATCCTATGGGTTACCAGCACGAGTTGAGCGGTTTAGGGGTTTAGGGGTTTAGGGTTCAGGGTTTAGGGTTTAGGGTTCAGGGTTTAGGGTTTAGGGTTCAGGTCGTAGTACTGAACTGCTTACGTTGTGTTCTACTAGCTGGGGCACGCCAAGGATCTGCGAACCGGAGTGCTTGCAGCTTCTGCACGAGTACAAGTCCCTGCTGGAGGCGGGTGACAAGTTCCGAACATCTCTAATGAGTCTCTAATGCATGTTGCACTTTTGCTATGTCCCCATAAGCCCGAAACCTAACTAGTAGTTTCCATTTTCCATTATCCCTATGTTACCCCAATATACTATAGTAGCATCCATTTTCTTTTCCATTATCCCTATATTACCCCAATATACTATAGTACCATTATCCCTACATTACCCAAAAAACGGATCCAAGAGATGCTGTGGTGGTACAACCTGACAAGTACCTGGCAAAAAGCAAAGGAATGCCACAACGCATGGTGACTGAACCCTAATCCCTAAACCCTAAACCTGAAACCCTAATCCCTAAACCCTGATCCCTACACCTTAAACCCTAAACCCTAATCCCTAAACCCTAAACCCTACAGGGTATGGCGTCCAGGATTACGACTCAGCCTTGAAGCCAGAATCCCCCACTCACGGCACGAGCCCTTCCCCCCAATGCTAAGGGTTTAGGGTTTAGGGCCGCCTCCTTAAACATTCCCTAGACAAGACCTTTTCAAAATACGATTTAGGCATATGGAACATTGGGGCCTGAGCGGTTGTTGAAAATTAACCGGATCAATTACTTGAAGGCTTCCTAGTTCCCTTAGCCGCCTGGCTGTGAGGCCTTGTTCGAGCACTACACCGGCCAGGAGAGTAGCTTTTCATTTTGCGGTACTGTAGCCCCAAAGATAGCATAGTATTTAATACAGTGTGGGGAGCTTGCTGACCACCAGTCATTTATAAGGACCCTAAAACTATCGAATAGGGTCCTACTTTCGAGGGGTGGGTTTGCTGAAATCACCTCATTATCGCAAGAAGGATAGAATCTTACTGTGTTCAACCATTCAAACACTAGACCCTAAGCCCTAAACACTAAAACCCTAAACCCAAAAACCCTGAACCCTAAAAAGCCTAAAACCTTAAAACCCTAGACCCTAAAACCCTAAACCCTTAAACCCTAAACCCTTAAACCCTAAATCCTTAAACCCTAAATCCTTAAACTTAAAAACCCTAAACCCTCGACCCTCTGAGTCTGATTCTCTTCAGGAAAACTTTTCGAGGCAGGAGTCCGAGGTAATGCTGAGCCAAGATCGATTCCAGAAACTGCTGAAGGATCCTGGGGTTTAGGGTGTAGGGTTTAGGGCTTTAAGGGTTTTTAGGGTTGAGGGTTTTAGGGGTTTAGGGTTTGATGGTTTTAGTAGGGTTTAAGGGATTCCGGTTGGAATTAGGGCTTAGGGTCCAGAGGCAGAGAGGGCACAGGGGTTGGGATCTTGCGTCCTTTTGCAGAGGATTTCATCTTTTTCAAGGGTGTCAACCATCTTCCCCTTAGTACACTAGGGTGTGTGTATGTGTTATTGTTAGGGGCGTAGGACGGGCACATTATTCCAGTGACGGGATCTATAAGCAGGCAAGATCCCACAGTCTCTTCAAGCTACCCTTGTAGGTAACACTAGTGTTTCGCAATTCGCTCACCTAGATATTCGACGGGAGGAGGGGTATTAGGGATTAGCCTTTTCGCAACTGAAGTTTCCTGGAGTTCCTAATGTGAAGGAATTAGGAAACAGCATCGTCCATGTTATGGTACTTATGTCCGTGAGGAGTCATATAGGGTGCATCTTAGATCCGGGAAGCAGTGCGGCGTCTTGCCCTAAAAACTCAACCCCATAAAACCCCAATATAAACTCCCAAGTTTAAAAGGAGCCCCAGCAAGCTCCTGCGCATGAGAAGCCTGAAAACAAGGGATCAAGATCATTGAGGTCCTGTGTGCTGTAGTCTAAACTCCGTGAAGGGGGTTATCTAAGAAGGGACTATATATGGTAGTATCATAGGGGCTATTAAAGGGGATATTTGGAGTTCAGGCTGTAGCTCAGGTTGGGCCCCTGCCCACTAATAGTGACCACAAGAGATGATGGTTTTTATATGCAGGTCCTTATATATTCCTAGTATACCACTATTAGTGGGTGGGGGGGCCCAACCCCAGCTATAGCTCCTGTGACCTTGTGAAGCTGGAGGACCTACACTTCCTTCCAGACTTTGTTCAGATCTTTGCGCTGGAGCGCCACATGGAAGCCTGCGAGACAAGGTATGGCCAGGAGTGGATTTAGGGTTTACGGTTTAGGGTTTAGGGTTTAGGGTTTTGCACAAGTGGTGCGTATATGGGCTTTTGAACATCATGGGTCCCTTTCTGGGTCTCTATATGGGCGTTGTCCAAAGACACCGTGTGGTGCTTTTATGATACGATCACAGGCTGGCTAGCAGAATCTTAAGCTACAGTTCCATTCATACTGGCAAACGAATTTATTTACAGGCACATCGACTCCTCAGAGTCTGACAATATAGCTGTAAACCAAAAAACAATGGGTTTTGTAGCAGGCTTGGGCGGCCATTCTGCAACATAGGCTTGTCACAAAATTTCCAGGCTTGCGACAAGCATTGTTGGCGAGCATTTTTGGGTGGGGCATGCCCGTACCAAGCACTTGCGACAAAGGTATTTAACAACAGGCCGCGACAAAGGGGTATGTAACAAGGGGTGGGGCTGGCCGCGACACAACAGGTTTTTGGTTTACAACCATGTTTGCCCTCAATCGCACCTAGTGCTTTCCAGATTCCGCGGCTTTGCAATCCGGTTCTCAAGATCAGGGTTGCTACCGGATCGGGCCCCAGAAGCAATCCACAATGCGCAGAAATCCTTTCTTGTCAAAGGTAATCTTGAGTGTTCAGGGCTTGGCTTCCGCTTAAAAATGCTTCCACGAAAGTTCGCGATGGCGTTCGCGAAAGGAACTTTGCATTTCCGCGAGGAGCCATTCTGTCATGCGAGAACTTGAGACGACGCCATATAAGGATAAGTTATAGTGCGTTCGGAGTCAGCAAGGGCTTTATTTGGAAGATATGATCGCATGGATCCCTACTTCAGCCCAGAGCAAGGAGTCGTTGACCTTCAACGCCTTTGTGGAGTGTCTTTGCCGGCTTTGCTTCTGCCACCTGAACATCTACGGGACCAGTTTGCAGCAGCTGGCACCCTCCAAGCAGAAGATGCTCTGGATGTTAGCCATGATGGAAGCCCGCCTGCCACCAGACTCTTGGGCCATTTCACCCCAGGGTTATATATGGTTTTATACAGTGTTTTACTCGGGTGTAAGATATTCTCCCCCAAATTATTGCCTAGCGGAACCAAGTCGAAAATAATCCTCGGTGACTCTAAAGTACCAGCCAGTTGGGGACACTCGCGTTAGTTTACTGGGTCGCTGTTAAGGAACTTAGCTTCATCTGCCATACTCGGGAACCACAACAACGGTCATCTACATATTCTATACCGATTATGGTCATTTACTTTAGGTTCCTTATCAGCAACCCAGCTTATGGTACCTGGTACCCTAAACCCGGAACCCTGGAAGAAGCTCAGGAGCTGGGGGGGCGCTTTTCGGACGACGGAGACCTCATAGATGCTTCGGACTCCCCAAGGGGTCCAGACTCACTGTGGCTTCGCAGAGATGCATCTTTCAATATTTCGACTTGCCCTCAGGATACTGGGCTTGCTGCTAAGAAGTTGAAGTTAAGTTACCACAACATGGGGTATATAGGGCTCAGGGCTTAAGTTACCATATTATGGGTATGTTGTAAATACTGGAGTTTCCTTATGATAGTAACTTAATGTAAGATTCTTACCAGCAACCCAGGAAGACATCGTGTTCTTCAAGACAATGGGCCTGACAAAGCTAGAAACCAAACTGGGCTGGGAGAGGCTGATGAGCTGTGATGTAGACGATGAGCCAAGCTCAGGCTATAGCCCGTTTCGACGATGAGGGTTATGGGGTTTAAGGTTTAGGGTTCAGGGCTATGTAGGGTTTAGGGTTCAGGGTTTAGGGTTTAGGGCTTAGGGTTTACGGTTTCGACGATGAGTCGCCAGAATTGGCGGACACATCGAATGTGGCCAGTCTGCCTACAAACACCAAGTAGCTCTTTCTTGGGTCTGCCATGTATTTTTTGAATACGGGCTGTATGTAATATACAAGTATTTCAAAGGACCTGTTACTATTTGTACAAGTCACAAGATCCAAGATGAAACCACAGCTGGTGCTTGCAGGCACGCTGAAGCCAGCTCCCTCCAAACGGAGAGAGAGCACAGCATGCCGGAAGTAGGGTCGGGTCTCGCTGTCCTAATCGGGGATGTCTCAGAGCTATGGGTCCCTTTTAAGGATAGTAGGAATAAGATGTTATTCTAGGTGTCGTTTTTTTTGGGGGAACCCAAACTTTGAGTCATCCCCAAATGCAGTCGGATTGAACGCAGCATTGAAGCTGACATAGCAAAGGCAACCGGGTTTCCTCTGCTTTATAGTAGGCAGCCATCCGACGGCAGCCATGCATTCTTGGCAAGGGTGCTCTGCCAAGCAGGCCCCTTGCAATGAACAGATTTTGGAGGCAGCGACCTATACCAAACTCTTTATTCGCAGCGTTTTTGAGGGCTTTGTGCTTGAAGGAGGCAAAGATGTACGAAATTGGACCCGCGTTTGCCCTTGCCCTTATGGTTGCAGATCAAGGTTAGTTACTGTGCTTGCATTATAATGTGTTAGAATATGCTATAACAGAATATATTCTACTATAACATCTGCAAAGACTGAGGACAGTAACTTGTCGCCGCTCCTTTTTGGTTCAGGCAGGACTGAGTCACACACGCGGCCATGAAAGACAACACACCCCCAGGTGCAGAAGTTCTCGCGTCAAGCAGTCACTGATAATCACGAGAAGTGCTGTTACACTGGAATCCGTATTACCTTTTGAAAGCCTAAACCCTAAGCCAAACTTTGGATACCCGTCTTTAGTTGGGAGGTCAAAGGTTAGTCAGCTTGCGGTATTCTTCAATATGTAGTTCACCCATGCAACCGGAAGACAAGAACATATCCTACGTAACCCGTGTAACCTTTCGAAGAGACCCCTATACGCAGCTACTTGTCGCCATGGCTGCGGGCGTTTGGTTTCGAAAATGTCTGCGCCTCCACGACAACGAGGCACTTGTGAAGGCTGGGCTACTTGGAGCGTTCTCTGGGGAAATGGCAAGGAGATGAACAATGCGGATAGCTGGGGCCGTTACATGGCTCCTACAGGTTGTAAAGTGACCTCAATCTCAGCCCAAATGGTGGTTAATATGGAATTCTAAAATTGTCCTGAATTCGCTTAACTTCTGGTCCGGAAGTTAATATCTATTTCCAGCTATGAATGGTAGTTTCCCTAAATGGGGACCCCAATATAGACCCCAAAACGTTATAGTCTTTCGTTATGGTACCCCCAAGAAGTACCCCTAATTTAGGGGGACCTTACCCTAATCCCTAAACCTTAAATCCTATATAAACCCTCTATAACCCATGGTACCCCTAATTTAGAGAACCCCCCCAAATGTACTTTCGAAGTTCCCTGACCTTCCAAGTGCCAGTCGCGGCAGCCACCTAAAGCTGGTTCTCTCCTTTTGAGTGGGAGAAAACAGCATATCCATTTAGGGTTTAAGGTTTAGGGGTTTAGAGTTTAGGGTTTTAGGGTTTAGGGTTTAGGCCCTACCTAGGACCTCTAAACTACTGTACTTCTTAGGATTTAGGGGTTCAGGGTGGTGTAAGATTTCTTCCATCTGTAGTTTTTGTGTCCAACATGAACACGGGAAAAGATGTGTTCATGTCACACCAGTTGGGACAACAGTTTTGTACCCAAATAATGAATTATTCACTTCGAGCATCCCCACCCTAAAGCCGTTATTGCACAAGAAGTGTAACGTTTCCCTGGCCCCCCTCAACTATCTTCCTTGCAGCACTACAGTTGTGCTGC